TGTAGCCTGGGGCCACATAAGGGGGATGGGAACAGTTTCTCCCCAGCACACCACTTTGGCTGCTGTGTGCACAGCGAGGGGTTCTTGGAGCTGATCATTATTTCCACAGGCCTCTGATGTCGGCCAGCTCCAAAGCATTGCCGTGGTGCATTAGTGGATTCAATTGAATTCTGCCGAGGGAGATGGAGGAAAGCACGGACGGGCTTGTTTCTCACAAATGACTTTCGGAAAGCAGAATGCATTGATGTTTTTTAATGGGGCTATGAACCAAAGCCTGTTAGCATTGTCAGGAAATGGAGTTATAATAATAGTCTTCCTTCTGACGGTTGAAAAGGGGCTACGGAGGGACCAGCTACAAAGTGCGCTGGCAGATAATTGCGTTATCTGACTTGTGCTGAACACAGGGGGGATCTCTGTACTCTAATCCCTGGGCAGGACACACCAAGCAGGAAACACATGTGCAGCTCCCATTCCGTTTGTCAGCTGGTTAATCTGGTACCAGGAGAGCAATGAGCTCTGGGCATGTCGGACTTGCACTCCCCTTTCCGCCCCCCAGGTGAAGTAGCATGGAGAGGGGGAGAACTGGCCCAGTTTTTCCTGATGGCAGGAGACAGGAGGCAGATTAGCCTCTTCAAGGGCAGGATGGGGCAAACAACTGGCTCTGATGTGGTGTCTGTAGGCCAGTTTCTGGGGCTTACATCCTCCTCCTAAAGCAGGAGAGGGGAACTGTAAAGCCTACCCTGATTCATAGATTGTAAGGTCAGAAGGGACCTCGGAAGATCATCGGGTCCAGCCCCCTGCACCAAGCCGGAAAGACAACTGGGGGTCAGGTGAGCCCAGAAAGATGACTGTCTAGTCTCCTCTTGAAGAGCTCCAGGGTAGGTGATTCCACAGTCTGGACACCCTGACTGTGAAGAAGTTTTTCCTAATGTTGAGCCTCAATCACTCTTCCAGGAGTTTGTGGCCATTACTCCTGGTTTTCCCCTCGGGTGCCCTGGTGAACCGTTGCTCACCGAGCCCTTGATGTACTCCCCTAGTGTAGCAGTAAGCTGCTACCAGGTCCCCTCTCAGCCTTCTTTCCCTCAGGCTGAAGAGTCCCAGTTCCCTCAGCCTTTCCCCATATGGCTTGTCTTTTAAGACTCTGATCATACAGGTGTCTCTTCTTTGGACTCTCTGAAGCTTGTCCACGTCCTTGTTAAAGTGTGGTGCCCAGAACTGGAGGCAGTACTCCAGCTGCGGTCTCACCAGTGCTAAGTACAGCAGAAGAATCACCTCCTTGGTTTTGCTGGAGATGCATCGATTAATGCATGCCAGAGTATCATTTGCCATACTGGCCACAGCATCACATTGCCGGCTCATATTCATGATGCATGCTGCGGTGCAAGCCCATGGATGCTAACTGAGCTGGGATGGTGACAAAGGCGTGGGAACCCCTCTGGTCCCCCCACCCCAGCTCTTTCTGAGGTGTAGAGGCAGCCTCCAAGACCTGCCTTTTCCATATTCTGCTTCATGTAGCTAAGTCCAGTTTTTCTCTGTCCACTGTTTTTCTGGGGGGACTTTGGCCATGGGCAGGGTGAGGAATCCACAGCTGGGAACCTGCACAGATGCCCCAGGGCCAACCCTGAGGAGAAACAGGCAGAATGGTGCTTAAATGTACCTTGGTCCTAAACTGGGATAGAACGAGAGGTTATTAACTGCAGCATTCCTTGCCTACACCCATGGAGGGACACGGCGTGTGGACTCCACGCTAATTCCACCTCCACCCAGCCCCCCTGGAGAACCAGCAGGATTCTGACGTGCCAAGGAAGTGAAGCTTGTGATTATTAATAAGCTTGTGAGGAAGTTCTTGATCAGTCTTGCTAACGCTCTGTGACGGTCTTTTGACCAAACTGCGTAGCCAACAGTTAGTGATGTAGCACCCTGGCCCCTTCAGTCACAGGCTGAGAAATTTCACTTTGGTCCTCCAAGGAGACCTCTGTCAAAAGCAAGAGGAAAAACCTAATACTTCCCAAAAAAACAAGCAGCACTGAAAAATAAGACCCCTGCAGGCCAGCTCTGTGCGTCAGAAAGGAACAACAAATGACTCAAGTCCTTGTTTTAGAGGTCTTTTATTTTTTATTTGTTTTGCTTTATATGCAGGTCACTGAGAACAAAAGTTATTTTTTTCCCCTCTTAAATTCTCAGCAATGTCTTAGGGGCAGCAATGATTGCAACAGGTTTCATGTGCAAGGCTGCTCGCTTGTACTCAGGATGTGGATTTGATTGAAAGCAGAGCGAGAAGGGGTTAATAAAATTTCCTTCTACAGGCAGAGGAAAATATGAATACAGAGCCCAGAGTCCCACCGAGGTGATAACTGACAGGTGAGCAGAGATATTGTAAGGATGGGGGGAGGGAAGATTGTGCCAGGAAGATCATTTCACTGCAACCAGCCAAGGTGTAAGGAGAGATAAGAAATGGGCACCGATGGCAGTAAGGGAGATGCAGGAGGCAGGTGACTGCAGGGCTCCATCTCTGTGCCACCACTGTGAAACCAGAGCAAAGCCCATTGAGGCTGAAATTGGCAGCTGGCTCCAAGCATGTTCTTCCTGCGGGCTGGGGATATTCCTGCTAGACAGCTAGACCCCTCAGTCCCTGCTTTCCCAGAATGGGGGTGGGTGGGAAGAATAAGTAATGTGCAAGTCACAGGAAAATACAAAATTGAATGGAAATGGAAAGAGACAGGATAATGGTGGCAGCCACTTTGCCTACTGGTTCTGTGGTTTGTGAAGCTATCCAAGGGTAGCAGTCCTTACACCTTGTAGTCAGGCCACCTGCTTCCTGCCAGAACACCCCTAGCTTCCAGGAACAAGTGCTTGGTTACACTGGGACTCAAATGCATTTTCTTGAAACTCTCTCTGTGCAGAAAGACACAGGTGCCTCACCTAAGTTGCTGTGCAGGGCCATGCCTCGCCCGGGCTGGTCGTCTTGTCTGTAAAAGCACCTAATGATATTTGCTGTGCACATGTTTGTTTCCAAACTGCAAGCCATGAGTAATGCCACAGTCATATTTGGCTCTGCTCTGGCAGCTTTCATCTGAAGCTTTCAAAGCTCTTTGCAAATATGAGGCAGCCAGAAGGCCTCCGATAATTAAAAATGGAAAATAGAACGCTTTGTGTTCCTAGTAACACCTTCTGTGGGAGGATCGCAAAGCACATTCCAGCAGTAATGAATAAATCCTCCCCCTTTGCCGGAAGGGACGTGAGTCTCATTATCCTCATTTGAGCAGGAAAGAAGCAGCAAATGTGGGTATTTAGGGACAATGTTTTCAAAAGTGTCCAGGGATTGTGGGTGTTCAACTTAAGACTCCTTGGCCTGCTTTTTCCAAGGTCGTTATGCAACTCCTGTGAAAATCAGGGCAATGATCTGAGCACCCAGAAATTGATGTGCTCGAAATCAGAGACTGACCTTGGGGAAAATTTGTGGCTGAAGTGACCTGCCTGAGTCCCTGGAGGAATCAGTGACAGATCAAGGAATAGAACACAGGCTCCTGGCTCCCAGTTTGAACCCCAAACCTGTGGAAGTCAATCGGCGCACTGCCGTTTTTCTGCACTGTATCATTGTCAGGGGTAGATCTATGGGGGGTGCAGTGGCACGGTTGCATACCCGTTCCACAGTAAATGTCACGCACCAGTGGCTCCATTTCCCTGTGCCTGGGTTTCCTGCGGTGTGTAAGGCACGGCTGGAGGCCTGGGCTGCAGTGAGACACCTGGGGGGGGATAAATCAGGGAGTAGCTGACCAGGGAGTGGGGGGAAGCCACAGGACTGCTCCTATTCTGCTCCATCCAGCCAAGGGCTGCAGGGACTGGTTGAATGGGGTGCTGGGTGAGTGGCAGTGACAGAGAGGAGTTCCTGCTCCCTCCCCATCCATTGCATTTCCCCTGCTGGCCAGGGGCTCCAGCTGTGGGGAGCACATGCATGGAGGGCCCTGCACATGGCAGGACGGTGGTGTCAGTAGATGTTCCGCCCCTTCCAGCACCTGCTTCCGGACAGTAGGAGAGAAGGAGCAATCCTGGGCCTTCACCTGCTTCCAGGTTAGTTGAGAACAGCACTGACAGTGGAATTCCAGGTGCTCCTGCTCCTTGTTACTTCCCCAGGTGTCCCCCACAATCTGGGAGCAAGCACTGGAAGTGGGGACCCATATGCTGTCACTGTCCCTGGCCAGGCCTGATGCTGCCACTTACCAAAGCCTCCCAGTGGAGTGGGGCAGGAGCAGCCCTGGAGTATCCCCTGCTCCTGCCTCAGCAGGGAACAATGATGGCAGTGGGTGGGTCCCCATGTTTTGCACCCAGCGGCAACCCCTGCTGGAGAGGGGAAGGGAGGGGGTGCCGAGAGTTGGGAAGGTGGGGGAGTCTTATCTGCTTTGGGGACTGAAAAAAGTCCTCAGCAGCTGCTGCCTGGCATTGTCTGTCCATGGTGGTGGGGTGGGGGGGGGCCTTCAAAGTCTGTTGTGGCACCAGTGACATTTCCTGCACCCCCTTTTCAAATTCCTAGATCTGCCTATAATCATTGTCCTACTGTTTCCCCTTCCTGCCACCTCTTAACGTGATGCGTTTTACCGCTGTTGGAATACTGAGTCTTTCATACAGCACCATATCTCAGCAAACACTTTTGAGAAGGAAAGAATTTGGTTCCCAAGATATTTCACATTCAAGATACTTTATTGCTGTTTCAAGCCGGACAAAGGATTATCAAAGAGCGACTGAGATGGTACCCTGAGGTATTGGTCCTTGCTTGCATGTGTCCCTGGCGACGGCTTTGCACTACCACTGGGTTTTTTTCTTCTCCTGTCCATTTGTCAGTATTGCCCATGAAAGGGTGGCAGGTTGTTACATAGCGAGACACAACTCCTACCATCTCGTTCCTCTCCCCTTGGGTCACGCACAGCTTTTCCTCATTGCTTTTTAATAGGAAGTCCTTTATCATTCCTGATCATTGGAGAAAATATGTTGGTTTTTTTTTTGCTTTTTCTCAGGACTCAAGATGCTAGTGTGTAGAACTGACTCGCTCTTTCAATTTCTCTTCTGTCACATTAGTTGCAGATCTGGTCCTGTCTGGGTTTGCGCTGTGCTGTGGGGGGGGGGCATGCAAGGGGGAAACCAATGCTTTCATAAGAGGCTAAAAGACAAATGGGGAGGAATTGGGCTGGTGCAGACATGAGGAGCAGGTTCTCAGCAGAGTGGGAGCTGGGAGAAAGGTGGCCAAGTCTAGATGAAGGGAGGGGAGCGGAGAAGGACCATGTGCTTGGCTGCTGCACTTGGACCCAGGGCTTGCAGAAGGAGGAAGGTGCTTTGCAAGGTGCTCCTGCAGTGAGGACAGAGCCAGGGGCGGTGTTTGAACGTGTGGCCATTGGACGTGGCTTGGCCCATCACCCCAAGCACGGACAGACGCGGCTGAGGATGCCCGGGGGAGCAGGGAGCTGCCCGTGGTGTCAGATCTCGCTCCAAGCCCTAACGCCCACCTGTTCCTACAGCCGGTCTCCCCTTGCCCATGGGCAGGAGCCCACCGTGCTCATTAGTAGGTGGGGAAACAGGGTGCGGTGCGATGCGGTGCGGTGGGACCCGCGCTGTGGCTGTGGCAGGGAGCGGGGCCGCGGAAGGAGGCTCCTGGATCTGGAGAACCCGGGACGCAGGGGAGGGGGGAGGGCGATGCTCTCTCGGGGGAGCTGCCTGGAGGGCAGCTGTGTGGCCCTCCCCTGTGCCCCCTTCTCCCCT